AAAAAAAAGAAAAAAAAGATATATAATATAGAGTTAAAAATCTGCAACAATGAATGTCATTATATTGTATACCTAAAATGTACCAATAAAATTAATTTTAAAATTATCACTCAGCAAAACAACACAATTATTTTATTTAAATATGTAATGCTTTGAAAACATCAAGGCTTAAGTATTTGTGGAAAACAGAATCAAACTGTTCGTGTTTAAAAGAACTTTTGGTAGTAAGGGTGCAGCTCATTACCATGTTTGAGGCCCTGGGTTCCATCTGGGACACCAAAAAAAAAGAGTCCAATTTTTAAAAAGTAATGTTATGGAATTTTCTGGGTATTTCTTCATAAAGTTAAAACTATGGTAAATAAAGACAGCTGCTATTTGTCATGCTGGCTTTCCATCATGCTTTCCTCTGATTCTTTTCTATGTGTCTATTTTTTCCCATTGGAATTGGAATCTTTATCGTTTGCCATCGTATCTTCAGATTATGTGAGTAGTTTTTTTGTTTTGTTTTGTTTTTTTGTTTTTTTGTTTTTTTGGTACCGGGGATCAAACTCGGGTCCTTGGGCTTGCACGGCAGGCAGTGAAACCACTGGGCTAAATCCCCAGCCCCGTGAGTAGTTTTTGATTTTTACCGAGGTTCACAACTAAGTTTTTGCCTTGTTTCTCAGCAGAAATTTGGATTTTGACTTTTGAAAAATGTTAGAACTGCTGAGATTTTGGAAAAGGTATAATTTTATTTCTGATTTTACCCTGGACAGTTGTAATATGTACTATGAACTTCCAATTGTCTTTATTTGAAGAGTAAGTAGGGTAAGGAGATGGCATTGACTATCAAAGTGACAAGCAATAGGATGTGGTGGTTAGGGTGGAATTTCAACTCCACTGGCTTTGAGATCTCAGCCAGCGACTGTTAGAACACTTCTAGGTATGTCTGAGTTGTCATATGGTGAGGCCTTGGAGTCTTGTCTGTACTCTCCCCATTTCTGTCACTGCATTGTTCCCCTTCTCTCCTTCCTGGATACCATGAAATGAGCAGTTTGCCTGAACCATGTCCTTCTGCAATGTTGTCTCAGCCTTGCTAACCAATCATGGGCTGAAACAATGATCAAATTAAACCACTTCTCTTTTGCACTGTGTGTTTCATTATTGTGCATTAGCAAGGAGAAAGCATGATCTGTGTAATATCAGATAATAATAGTAATTCACTGAAACTTCTCAGGACATAAATAGGCTATATTCCAATTATCCAATTTCCTATACTGATTCTGGAAGCTAAAATATTCAACAGAACATGTTGATGGAGACAATCATGGGTAAATCTTAACTGAATAGAGATGCTTTTTCAAGGTGATTTGGAGTAATGAGGAGTTTCCCAACAGATACACTGAAGCAAAGGTAGATTCAAAACAGCAGAGAGTTCATGAAAAGTTCATTTAGAATTTATGTGCTTTAACATCAGAAACGTCAAGATCACAGTGCTCTGGTTTCCTTTGCAAAGGTTTGAGGACATTATGGAACGAATTATTCTGCCATGGCTGTAAGAATTATCCCGAAGGATTCAACTAAAATTATAACAGGCAAAATTTTGTAAAAAGAAGTTTATGGAATAAGGGGAAGAATAAAAAGACAAAAATGATATGGAAGAAGTTATTCATTGAGGCATCAGATACTATCTTAAACCTCTGACAGAAAAGGGGCTTCAGTTTGAGGAATAATGTTGAGATTTAGCAAACTTCTTATATATATCCACATATGCACACACACTCATACTTACCAAAAGAAATGGACACATTCCCAATATGAATACATACAGGACACATGTATACCTAACCTACATCAAAACTACATATTGGGAGAAGGAAAAAGTACTTTCCTAGGCTCTTTGCTCATTCTTCTCACTTAAGAACAGTCTTATTTTACCAAATAATGCAAACCTCAAATTGATTATTTTTGACAAGATACTTAAGTTAGAAGCAATAAAATTGGAAGTACCTAGGACTTTCTGCTTCACTTTCTCTCCTCCTGTCACTCACATGACCTAGAACTCAGGCTTCCATTATTGCAAGCTCCCTCTTACTCCCCTACAGAGCAATTGCAATCTCAAGAGTTTGGATAAATTCTTATATACTGCATGGCTGGCAATAATTGTAAAATCCAACTATATATTACCCTGTGGGGTTGAAAACTTGAAGTGAGAAAATCCTTGATTCATTTAAAACATTGGAGTGAGATTCTAAAAATCCAATGTTGGAAACTCAGAAATCCATAAGCCTCACAGAGAGTTTCTTTGTACTGAGTCTGGCTTCCTAAGATGCCCAGATATGGATGACTCTGGTAGCTTAGGTATAACAGGCAGACTAGATCAGCTCATTCTTAGGTTGCATTATCCCATCAGGAAGGATCTGCTCATCTAGTCCACCCTTGCCTCTATGATGGGGAGAGAACATCCATGATTCCCTATTAGAAAAAAAGCTTAGTGAATGGTACAAATTCTTTACTGAGGGGCAGGAAACAAGTTTAGGGTGGAAGAATCAGGCCTGAAGATCTTTCCTGTAACAATAATTCTCAGTGCTTTGCGAAACCAAGGATAAAACATGCCATAAATAATGGGATTGAAAGTAGAATTGAGATAACCCAACCAGAGGAAGACATTGTATAAATCTTCAGGGGTTGTAAAATCAATGAAAGGGTCTATTATTGTCAAGCTGAAGAATGGCAGCCAGCACACCACAAACACTCCCATGACTATGCTTAGAGTCTTGGTGGCCTTGCTTTCTGTTTTGGATGTCACCTTCATTCTGGTTTCTGAGTCAGCCTGTTTTGTCCTAGGACCTGTGCCAATTTGCTTGGCATGCTTCCTGGCTACTGTGAAAATGTGTATGTAAATCCCCACCATGACTGTCCCAGGAATAAAGAAAGCTATAAGGGAGGCCAGCACCCCCCAGAGCTTGTTAAATATCAACACACACAAATCTGTACAGTCAATAGCTGCAATAAAATCTTCTGTACCTACTACATTTAATCCCGAGAAGACCAGGCCAAAGGCAAAAAACATGGGACCGCTCCAACTGATGAGCAGAAAGAACTCTATGACAGGCATAGTGATTTTGGTGACATAGTGCAGAGGGTCACAAACAGCATAGTAGCGGTCAATGGAGATGAAGCAGAGGTGAAAAATAGACGTGGTGCAGAGCATGATGTCGCAGCAGCTGTGCACTTTGCAGAAGAGGTCTCCGAAGTACCAGCAGGAATCGATGGACCTGACCATACTGAAGGGCATGACCACACAGCTTACCAGCAAGTCAGTGGTGGCCATGGAGAGAGTGAGGAAGTTGGTTGGGGAGTAAAGCTGCTTGAAGTGGGCGATGGAAATGATCACAGCCATGTTGCCCAGCATGGTCATCACTATAGAACAGATTATGAAGACGTACATGGCGTAGACAATTGGCATGGGCCTCTCCTTTCTAAGACATGAATTATTGACTGATGGAAAGCAAAACTGTACTTCTGCAAGATTCCTAAGTTCAAGTGAATTCATTGTCTTTGTCTTTTGAGTTCTAAGATGTTTGTTTTGAAACAGCTTTGTTCTTTTGCTTGCTGTGTAAAAAAGACGGAAATCGATCAATGTCACCACCAGGACAATTTTCTATAGGTGTCTCGCAAACCTGCATTTCTAATCTAAGTTTAAATTTCCCACTTCCTAAGAGGACTTTTCCCACTGTTTTGTCTATAGGCATCACATAAGTTTGGATTCTAAACCACAGATTCCGATTCTGGTTTAGAAGCCAAGGCTGCATTCTCACAAGTTCTCAGGAGAGCATGATATTTAGTCACCCAATATCCAAGTAGGACAGAAAGAATTCTTCATTTGCTTGTGTAATTGTAATCCGGAGTAACAGCAGCATAATAATACAAGTGGTATATGCATCTACATGGTACTTGGATAAAAAACTTCAAGAATCATCAAGAACTATGTTACTATTTTTCTACATTTACCTTAAATATTAATTATAATCTGAAGTCTACTGCATTCTTGTTTAAAAGTTCCCTATGTGAAATGGCAAATGCTTTTGATCCTCCAATTACTACATTCAATCGAAGAAACACTTTTCAAGGTTGAGAGCTGTTTTAAGAACTGAACAGAATTGTATGGAAAATTATATATAACCTAACTATTGTACAATGATACATGAATTAGTCCCCCAAAATGATGTGGAATGGACTAAAATGATAGATTCTGTAAATCTCACCTGTTCTTTCTTTTCATTTAGCAGCCCATTAATAAATTCAAATTCAGGGGAAAGATCTCTTGTTCATAGATTTCAAGTCTTACACTGGTAATTTCACTTACGAGAGTGAGTAATGTTTAATCCATCACTTCAGACCCTGTATTCTCCTTTATTCTAACAGTGTGAATATACCTGGACTGAATCACCTCGAGCATGACATAGATCTGATTTGTTTTTCCAGTCTTGAAGCTTCATTTGTAATTTTGATGCCCAGTGGCAGGCATTCGTGAGATCTGAAATCAGGTCAGGGAAATGAATTTTGATCTAAAAGTAGTCTGCAACTCACTGATCTTTTGGGAAATAAATCTGTAAACACATCCTCAACCAAAGTGACAGGGGAAAGACTGCAATGAGATTATAAGCACCTTTGAAATAATAGTCCACAATTTACCACACTATTCCCCACAACTATTTCCATGCCTGTGTATTACTGGAAATCTTATCGTGGCATCTTTTACGGGTTCTGAATACAGTAATTTAATTTTTCAGCTAAGTATTCTTCTTTAGATTTTTTATTTGTACCAAGTAAATATTATGCAAGTAAGTTACACTTGAGAGATCAAGACAAATCAAACTAAAATGTAAGAAAGCTAAAAATGTGTTGCTTTATAAGGTGCAGACCACATAGCGCAAAATATTTGTTTTTTACCATTTTAATCTTAAAGTGGCTGAAAATACTGAAATCATAAACTGCTAATTACCTTATGTAAGCCATTATCTATTTTCATCTTTTTGATTTTATAATTTTAAAATGTTTAAATTATTTTAATTCTTAAAATCACCTTCAAGAGTAGCTACAAATTACAACAATATGGCTTAAAGAATTTCTCATACAAAACTATCACCTCTTTAATACCTCATTATATACCGTTTGAAGTTTTAAATTTTAATTTTAAAAACACAATCCATAAAAGAATTTATAACTTAACACCCTAGTTTATGACATGAGTTTTATCTGTAAAAAAAAAAAAAAAGAATGACCCACTTTTAGAAATGAGCAGTATTCTTTCATGCTTCTGTTCCATAGTTATATGGATTAGAAAAATATTTAAATAGCTGGTAGATTAATATAAGACAGAACAAAATATACACATTTATTTGAAAATTATTGCATAGGTGAATTATTAAGGGAACATCAAATGATAACATTAATATTATTAAATTAATATTAATTTAATATTACTTAATATTAACTTCTGAGCTTAATTCTTGTCCTAAAATTACAAAAGGAAGAGTAACCAAAGCAAGTGTGACTGCCAGCCTACAACTTGTTAGAAAGAAATTGTGAAGAGTTGAGGTTTTGCTTGCTATTTTCAAACTTGACAGAATAGAAATCCCTTTTTGTAGATTAACTTTCAAAAAGTTCTACACAGTAATTTTTAACAAAATAAAGTAAAGTCAAAATACTATGACATAGGGCCGGAGATTTAGCTCAGTGGTAACGCCCCCTGCTGCCCAAGTGCAAGGCCCAGAGTTCAAGCCATAGTACCAAAAAAAAAAGAAATACTATGACACTTCAATATATCATAAGACATTGTTGCTTCTTTGTTGCACTTTTTTTTTAAATTTTTTAAAATTTTTTTTAAATTTTTTTGTATTAAATTCTTTTATTGGTACATTGTAGGTATACAATACAATTACATTTCCCATTGGGAATTGTACCTTTATTTAATGCATCTTGGTTCTTATTTTTTCCCCATTCCTAGCCCTCCCTTCACGCCCTCCACCCTTCCCTATTTACAAAGACTTCATTTCCATTTTTTCCATTTCTCATCATTTTTTCCTTTCCCTTCTTTCCTTTCCCCTGTGCCTCCCACTACCCCCACCCTTTTGGACCTTTTCTTCCTATTTTACATTATCGACTATTCATTCTAATCATTGGTACATTTTAGGTATACAATATAATGACATTCATCATTGGAAATTTGCACCTTTACATAGTCTCTCTTGGTTCTTATTTTCCACCCTTGCCCAGCCCTCCCTTCAACCCCTCCAGTCCTCCCTATTTACAAAGATTTTGTTCCTATTTTTCCATTTTCTCATATTAATCCCATTCCCTTCTATCCTTTCCCCTAGCCCTCTATAGCTAAGTGGATGCACATTGAGGCAATACTCTTAAGTGAAATCAATAGGACACACATGTGTAAATACTGAATAGTTTCTCTGATGTGAGAAACTGAAAGTGTAAATAAGGACTAAATGTATAATAGGTAATGTGAAATAGGAAGAAAAGGGGCAAAGGGGAAGGAAGTGGGTGGGCTTTGTTGCACTTTTTACCAATAACTTTTTCCCATAAGTAACAGAAACAAGACTAATTTAATTGTAATACTAAATACAACCACCTAAGAAAGCATAAAATATTAGTGGCTTTTCTTCCTGAACATAGAGGAAGCATGTGCTAGCAATTCAGGAAAAACAAGAGTTGTATAGGTTTTTGTTTTTCTAGCTGAAATTCAGTCCTTTAAGGGAAAAGATTACTGACCAATGAACCGGACATAAGGACTCTAAAATAATGACTTTCAAAATGCAAAAGTTTCTCAGAATTTTGAGGAAAAATAAATGAAAAGAGAGTATGGAAATTTTTCCTCAAGTTTAAATCCATAAAATTACCTCTATGCATGTCTTGCCCTCAAATTAATAAAGAAAACATTCAACAACTCAATAGTGCTTTATGAATAAACTTTTAAAATTAAAGAGAGACACATCACATGTGCTTAGCAGGCATGGTTTTTCATTTTTTCCCTTTTCCCTAGTCCAAAGCTCTACTTCTGGAACTGTTTCTGAAAAAATAATGAATTTTACTTTAATTTGATATATCTCACCAATTCAGTTGTTTCTGATGTAAAAAAGAAAAACTTGTGAAATAACATTTTAGAAGATTTTCTCATTGCCTCCTTAGGATCTCAGAGATTTTTACAAATAATTCACATTGATTTTCACAGGTCCATATTTCAGATGTGATTCCTTTCAACCTGCAATATAACAAGGGAAAAGTGTGACATTTTGCCCTGTCTTACTCAGTCCTCCTCTGCTTTACCAGAGTGTGCTGCGTGAATGAGGCCACATGAGTGTCAGTCAAGGGCAGGGTGATCTGCCTCATCAGGGTCTCTTACCCGGGCAGTGAGCATCTCACTGGCTCTGTTCTCCCCATGGGTCCCTGCACAGATGCCCTGAGCCCATGCTCCTGCGGGGAGGTCCAGGCCGGCTGTACTCTCAGCCGTGTTTAAGCACAGAACCTGCCTCTTGGGGCCGGGCCGCCCCTGTCCTGCTCTGACAGGTGTGTGTTTTCACACCCTGTGGGCTGCTGCCAATGAAGACATCACAAAAGTCACCAGGGAATTAGCCCTGGGAGGGGGAGTCAGCTGTGGTCTCATTGCTGTGACCTCAGAGTGGTGAAGTGGACCAGCCTCACACAAGGCCAAAGTTGGGAAGAGTGAGAAGCAGGAGAGAGAAAGAGACCATGGAGTGGGGGAGAAATGATGGAGAAAATTTAGTTTAAATCTAACATAAATTCATTCTATTTAATATGTTTGTGAAGCATAATTTATTCATTGATATCTTTTCCTTTTGCTGCCATGCACCAGCACTTCCTTAAATTTGTATCCCATACCTGGGGACACAATTCAATGGACCTCAGTTCCTAACTAGATGGAGGGAAGGGTGACCTTGATGACTGCAGCCCTATTCTTTACGGATTTCTTAACTATTTGAAAAATCTCCCCAACTATCAGGCCACGTATTTAGTGATGTCATTCAGTGTTAGAAAGCCAATAATTAAAGTACCATGTAGTAATCTGTATTCACTCTTAAATTCCCCCTCTGTAAGCTTACATGATCAAAAACCAACTTATTCTTGATAAAGTCTGCCTCAAAATGTGATCACTTAATTTCTGGGTCAATATTCAGATTTAATATCCAACACTGAAAAATAGTGTGGCAGGTTGTGGGCAATGACCCAGCAGGCAGGGCAGTGCTCTGAGAGACAGAGCTGCCCTTGAGAAGCTTTCCTCAGCCTAGCATGGGGCTTTCAATTTTTGGATCATGAAGAAGCTTGTGGGATGTGGAGGCAGAAGCCTGGTGTCGACGGAAAGTAGCCAAGACTTGTGTGGTGACTCACAGCAATAGATATGTAGAAAGTAAGCATCTATACTCACCCCATGAATAACACTGTGTTCCCATTGGTAAAATGCCATTGGAACCCTGGGCAAAAGTGGCTCTGTAATGCAGAGCACAGAGTGAGTGGAGAGGCTGGGGTGGGGAAGAACATCACGCTGAAAGTAGTGACACTATTTCAGAGAAAGACCTCTGAAAAAGCATTATTAACAGAAGCTCACCCCCATCAGAAGATCTTCCCTTTTCTACCTTCCCAGAGTGGAATCGGATAGGAACCAAAACAAACCACTAGCATTTTGTTTTCCTGATTCTTATATTGACCTTTAATTATTTCCTGGATCAAAATCTAGTCCAACCTGGTCCAAACTATGCTTTGTATTTCTTTTGTACATTTTCCACAAGCATCAGAACAAGTGTACACTGGACAGAGTTAACAGTTAACAAATGATGGACATATGGATTGACTGGTCAAATGTGAGGAAAGTAGCTCTTGAACAGGTTATAGAATTGGGATGACTGACTTTTTGTAGAGGAAATTTTGCAGCCACCTGGGATGGAAAGTATACACTGCAGGTAAAAATCCTGAAATCTCATTTTTGCTGTTTACTTTTATAATGATTTTTCAATAATTTCTTTCAAGAAATAAATTTTCACTTTCTGAATGATAGCTAAATATTTTTCCTGACACTATGTACTTAAGAGCTTTCTGAAACTGTGGATAAAAAAGCCATGAATGAGGGGGTTGCAAGTAGAGTTGAAGTACCTGAGCCACACCAAAAGATCAAGTACTATTATGAGAGTGGAGTAGTCTAAATATGGGTCAATCAGAACAGCAAGAAAGGAAGGCAACCAGCAAGCGAGAAATACCCCCATCACTACACCCAGGGTCTTCACTGCTTTCCTATCTTTTTTCTTAGATAGATTTTTTTTCACTTCTCCTTTGATGTTTTCAGGCATACTGCTGATGACTTGAGCATGTCGTTTGGAAACGATAAAGATTTTGCTATAAATACCAACCATGATGGAGCCAGGAATAAAGAAACAAGTAGTGAACAATATCCTTTCCCAAACTTTGTTGAAAGTGAATGCAGAAGAGCAGGTCCCAGCACCTGGAAGGAAATTCCCTGCCTAGGCTCCTAGGACAGAGAAGCTTAACTGGTCCCAGAACCTGGGAGGAAGTTCCCCGCCCCCATCCCAGGCTCCTAGGGCAGAGAACGAGAGCCAGTCCCAGCACCCGGAAGGAAGCTCCCTGCCTCTATCCCAGGCTCCTAGGGCAGAGAAGCTCAGCTGGTCCCAGCACCCTGAAGGAAGCTCCCTGCCTCCATCCCAGGCTCCTAGGGCAGAGAAGGTGAGCTGCATGGGCGCCAGAAGCACCCCCTCCCATGCAAATAAGAAGACACATAAACAAGTCTCAAAAACAGACTTCTGGATCACCTCCAGCAACCCCAAAGGGAAATGAGATGGAACACTCTGATACTCAACC